GCGGGTGCGGCGGCGGCCTGGGGATGCGACGGCGGCGCGGCTAGGGCTGGGGATCGAGGGTTAGGCTGATACCATGTAGAGGAATAGAATGCAACTCTCAATGTATTGATAGGTGCATATGCACAAGTATATATAGTACATAGGGCAAGTCATATCCTCAACTATACACAAGGAGGAGACTTGGAGTATAAGAATACATGTGCTAAATACATATTTCAACACTATCTTTCATAGAACAATTCGGTGGAACCGGGTTGTCACGCTTCGCGCCCGCCACAGCCTCGCCCGTGATATCAAGGCCCTTCGTGCCCGCTCTGTTGCCGTCGCTGAGCGCCGCGTACGGTTTGGCGTCGACGGCAAGGTACTGAGACCCGCCATAGCTTTCGTCTCCTGTGCGCCGTCGTCGCAAGTGCTCGCCGTTGCCAACAACCATAACCAGTTGGTCGGCATCGAGGAGCAGGTTAATTGGTTGTCCAACAAGGTTAAGTCGGTGAAGATGACGCATGAGAATCAGCTCGACAAGAAGCTCGAGGTGTTCTCCATCCTGGGGTTCGGGGGGCTCGGGAAGACGACGCTCGCTGTAGAAGTGTGCCGGAGGTTGGAGGAGGAGTTCAGTTGCCAGGCAACCGTGACGGTATTGCAGGCCTTTGATGCCAGCAAGGACATGAGTGGGCTGCTCCTGCGCATACTTCACCAGGTCGTCAAGGTGAAAAGAGATAATGAACAAAATTGCATGCAAGAAGAAGATCCATTGGGTGAAATCGACAGTAATGTGGACAATCTGGCCAGCATGCTAATTCAGCGACTCGCGGATAAGAGGTACCACTACTCAGAACATACTTATTATACAGAAATCCAATTCGGCTTTTGGAAGCATATGCTTCTGCGTGTAAAAATGTTCTTTTATAATTATAAAAAATTATGAAAAAATTAGATGTGTTCATTTTATTTTATTTTTGCGAAAAAACTTTTGATTTATTCATCGTCAATCATGAGAGTACAATGAACATTAGAAATAATAAAAATTACATCTAAATCCATAGACCACCTAGCAACAATTACAAGCACTAAAGCGAGCTGAAGACAGTCATCGCCCCTCCCTCACGGGAGCCGGGAAAACTTTTTGTAGTAGACAGTCTGGAAGTCGTCGTGCTAAGGCCTCGTAGGACCAGCGCACCAGAACGCACCAGAACAGCAACCGTCGTCGATGAAGAGTAATGTAGATCGGAAGAATCCAATCTGAAGGCATACAAACGTAGACGAACAGATCCGAACAAATCCAGCAAAGACAGATCCGCCGTAGACACGCCTCCACACGTCCACCGATGATGCTAGACGCACCATCAAAGGGGGGCTAGGCAGAGAGAACCTTATTCCATCTTCAGGGAACTGCCGCCGCGTCTCGTTTTCCTGTACAGGACACAAACCCTAACAAATCTCGAAGACACATTTAAAACAGGAGCCCTCTCACCGGCAAGGGCCAGCATCCACCGCGCCCCCATAGCCCTAAGGCCACCGGAGACGAGACGGGCTGGCATCGGCGCCAGCGGGAGGCAGAGAAACCCTAATTAGGGAGGAGGCACGGTCTTGAATTGATGGACACCAGGCTGCTGGTGGTCGGGTCGAGACATCATTTGCGAAGAATCGAAGATCTGCTGAAAATCATTTTCTCGGTGGATAAAACCAATATGGCATCTTACTATAATCACTTGGATAAATATACACTCCCACTATATTCATCCAGTTCAATATGGAAAGCAACCAAGCAAAATAAAAGTCAACAACCTATCAGCAAAAAGGAAAGATAACCCATTATTAATGCTACAAATAGCAATTATTTTTTGTTAAGAAAAAATTGAAGCATTCTTTCAGCAAAAAAATCTTGAGCTTTTCCAAATAAAAAGGGGCAACATATAAGCAAGGGGAGGCCTACACTATATATGAAGGATAAAAAAGCAACATTCAATACATATGTTATTGAGATCTAACTGTGAAATTTGTTGATCTAGGACAAAGGTTGAACTAAAACCGGACACATATATTGCTTCAGTGGGGTAAGAGCATCTCTAGCAGACCCAGTATAACGTCGACCCGCAAAACGCGTTTGTAGTTCGCGGAAAAACGGCTTTGCGGGCCTACGCGGGCAGGGGCAGAGTCAGACCCCGCAAATGGACCAGGAAAAAGGATATTCGCAGTAGATGCTCTTTTACGGGTCGGCTACATGGGGTCTGTTCGGGCGCCGCCGCTTGGACCTGCAAACCGAAAACCCCCGATTGAGCGAATTTGACAGCAATTCCGATAAATGAGTTCAAATTCAAACAATAAATCTTAGTTGGCACACAAATAAAATCATTGTTTTGTAGGACAGACATAAAAGGACTTGCAAACGACCACGTCCGTTGCTCTTCACTCCGCACCACCTCCATCGAGGTAATTGCCGCCCCCGAATCCACCACCCGCACTTGTTCCAACTCCGGCACCGAAATCACCGGAGGGCGCGCTGAATTCTTCGGCGATGTTGGTTCCTAATCCCGATGTGAAACCATCATCGGCAGTGTAGCACGCATCGGCCAAAGCAAGCATCCGCCTCTTCAAGATGTCTCTCCTTGCCATATCATGTCATTCTTTGGTGAGGTCATCCATGTCGTTGAACGGCATCGTCGGGGAACATCTCGTCGGGGCAGGAGAAGTGGACGAAGGCGCTGACCTTTTCATAGCAATCTTCTTCCGCTTCATGCTCGAAACCTTCCTCAGCTTCTCCGCCGACGGCCGGGCAGATCGCGCAGCGGCGGCGGCGCCCGACGCGCGTGCCTTTTCAACGGGGCCAGCCGGATTGCCGCCCTGCACGACAACGTTGCCCTGCCGCTTGCGGGCAGGCGCGTTGGGGCCTTGGGCGATGGCAGAGGCGACATGGCCGGCGACGAGATCCGCCGGAGGGGATTGCGCCTGTGCAACCTCCACGGGGATGGGGGACTGCCGGGAGGCTTCCATGACGGCGAGGTACGGCGGGGAAGATGGACCGGAGCTCGCGGTGGCGGGGCAACGACAGCCGGGGAGGGGGGAAGCAGGAACAGCCGCGCGGAAATTTCCCTCGCGCCAAATCTCCTGCGAATAGGGGGCGAGCTTGGGTCGGCCTCCCACCCCGTGAATCTATGGGTTGAGGGCGAACTTTTGCCGCGCCCCGCAAATATTTTTACAGGTTGGACGCATTTGCGGGGTCTGCTCGGGCAGATTTTTCCGCGCCGACCCGTATATCGGCGGTAATTTTGCGGGTCGGGGACTTTTACGGGTCTACTAGAGATGCTCTAAGCAATGTGCATATGCGGAGTGTCAAGAAAGTAACTGGATGAAATTACTAGTTTTCTTTTATTGCATGGAATTAGTAGTTTGACAAGTAAGGAGAAGTGACTAAAACACAACTATTCACATAAATAACTTATCCAAACACATGGTCGTTTACGTTGATCTCTTTGATCTCTTACCTAAAACACTATGGAAAACAGGACAGATGAAGAAAAAAAATATGAGGTGGCATTTGAAAAGTGATCACCTCTCGAACCTCTCAAATCCACCACACTGAATGGGAGTGGAGCATACTCAGAAAAATAAACTGAGGTGTCCACAATCGCACTGTGCGATAGTGAGGGGTGGATGTAGCCACAGTTCTCATTCTAGCCACAAGCCCACAAACACACATGCAGAACTGCAGATGTACCAGACAGAGTTGCCACTGCATGGTCTGTCGGCAGCAACTCAGTCACCTCGCTGGGTGGTCCTCCTCCCAGCAGTCGAACCAAGGTGCAAGCATTTCTGAAATAAAGGCAATTGATGACATCCAAAACTTCGTAAAATAAGTAAATATTAGACATAAATATAATTCGAAGGTCATGGTTTATACTCCCTTCGTCCCAAAATTCTTGTCTTAGATTTGTCTAGATACGGATGTATCTAATACTAAAACGTGACTTGATATATCGATATTTAGATAAATCTAAGACAAGAATTTTGGGACGAAGGGAGTAACAAATATTGCAGGTTGATGTATAGGAGAAGAATAAAAATGCTTATGGTTGCAGGAGATGAAAAATAGGAGTGAGGCTTTAAAACATGCCAAGCAAAAAAATGTAAGACCAAGGTGGTACCTTGTGATTTCATTGTAGATGCCCACTCTAACCATATGAATCAAGCGATTGACCTTCCAATAATCAGAAACTATTTGTGTATTAACAAAATAATTTGGTATGCTACACTGTAAACTCCATGTGTGTGTATGTGTGCCTGAGAGAGAGAAAGAGATGAACTGCAAACCAAGAAAGAAAACTGTGCAGACAAAGCCGTGGGTACAAAGATTTTTCGTCCTAGCAGGCGATAGTAGTTCATTCAGAATTTCAGATACGGCGGATGATGTGACTACCTTTTGCGGCGCAAAGGGTGGGCTGCAGCTTCGATCCTGAACGGCGGCGGACAGACGACATCGCGCAGTAGCGTTCATCCTAGTCAACGATGGATGGTGAGGACAACCTCAGCAAGG